GCTACCTCCGTGGGCATGGTCTTTCGGGGGAGGGAGGCGGGCTACCTCCGTGAGCGCCGTGTCCACTGCTTCTTGCATTTCATCAAGCATTCCCGGCAAGTAAGTCATCTGCTGCTGCTCGATCTGGCAGTGGCACCCGGCATCCCTCCTCCGTATGAAGAGCGCGTGGCGAATGCCGTGTGACCCGCTGGCGCACTTTCTGATCCGAGCGGGCGGAGCAGCACGGGGACGGATCAAATTACTTCCCGCAGCCTCCGGAACCGTGCGGCAACACATGCCAGAAACACATCTGCCGCGAACATTCGCCCGCAACAATATCTGCCAAAGAACAATATCTGCCAAAGAACATTATCTGCCAGCAACACATTCGTTCGCAACACATCTGCCAGCAACACATTCGCCAGCAAACAATATTTGCCAGCAACACATCTGCCAGCAACATATCTGCCAGCAACAATATCTGCCTGCAACACATCTGCCAGCAACATATCTGCCTGCAACATATCTGCCAGAAACATATCATGGGCGTTTCCCTCATTTGGGCGCCAAGGGACAGCGGAGAGCCTTGCATAGGCAGGAGGTTGCGGGGCGAGGGCGGATGGAACCGCAGGGGGATCCCGGGAAAGGAAAGGGGAAGGGTTGACCCGAGGCCTGCGCCACCGTGTATGGTGTTGTCGATCAGCGAACCGCATTTTGGGGGGCTTGCAGGTTGGGGAAGAATATGCAACGCCCGCGGGGGGGGGGAGAGACTGGCATCACAGCGTGCACGGGCTTCGATGGTTTAAGCTACAGTGCCGCGGATATGAGATTGGAGACGCAGCAAAGGAAGGCACCGGTAGAGCAGTAAAGGAAGGCGCGCCCGCACCTCGCCGTGCTTCAGCTGGCTCTTCAGCAACAGAATCCCGGAGGTCGGGCTTGCGGTGGAGGAGGTAAGCTTCTCCTGCTCACCCATGCCCCCCTCCAGGCCGCCAGCACGTTTAGAGACGCGAGGAGCGCCCGAAGGCCCACTCACCGCAGCAAGAAAGTCACAGCAAGAGCTTGCTCAGTGTCCAATCGCGCATGCCATGCAAGATGCATAGGACCGTGATTCAAACCCCAAACATTTGGGCAAGTGAGGGGTTTGGCCACACCCTTTACCCGTATCCGCCCGGTGAGACGTGGACCTAGCGGGCTGAAGCCTGAACACTGCCATAATAGCCACACGACACAGGTGATGGGCACCCCAAGCAAGGCTGCCCGATTACTCGAGAAGCACACGCACTGAATGGCATGAGGCCTGCCGACAAGCCAGATCACAGTGGAAGTGAGAAGCATTCAGGAGGCCGCGACGAGATCCCACCGGCACCGGCACACCTCATACACTGAATGGCATGAGATCAGCCGACAAAAGCCAGCCCACCATCATCCCAGTGGATGTGAGAAGCAAATCAGGAGCAGGGCGGGGCCGTAACAAGATACGACCAACTCATACATATTCCCAACCCAGATAAAAAAGCCGGACACGCACACACACAAACACACTTAGAGATGTGAGAGGAGCACCCGAAAACCCACCCACCCACCACATCAAGCAAATCAAAACGAAAGCTTGCTCGTCGTACTATCACTTATGCCTAGATATGCACAAAACCATGAATCAAACTCCAAACATGTAGGGAAGTGAGCGCTTGTGCCCACACACACTGAATTTGCCCCGCACACAGTGAAGGGCATATTGAGGCGCACCAACCAAAGCTAGCCCATCACCATCCCAGTGGATTAGGTAAGCATACAGGAACTTCACATCTGCACTCAATGAACAGGGTGGGGCCGTGACAAGATACTACCCACAGAAAGGCAAGAGGCCCACCAATAAAAAACCAGCTCACCACAGCGGCTGGATATGAGAAGAAATCAGAACCAGGGCGGGCCAAGACTGGAGACCACAAACATCAGGGAGAGGGCAGTGTAGAATCAAGTGTTAAAGATTACAACGAGAGCGCGGCACGGCACGGGGGCAGTGGGCGTTGTAGCAAAAAGGCTGGGTTCTTAGTGCGAAAGGCAGTTCTTGGTATATTCTCCCGTGACTAGGTAGACAACGCCACGTGAGGGAGACGGGACTGGTTGAGGCCGGGGAGTTGGCGAAGGCGCGACGTGTTTGCAGGTGGACAAGATGGCGCCAGCGAAAAACACCGTTACAGAGGTTGGAGCGCTTTCATTTTCTAAGGACGGGGAGGCGGCGAGATCGAAGGAAGCAGGGAGGAGCTTAAGGGCAAGCCAGCGAGTGAAGCGACATGTTGTGAGATACCCACGTCTGCCTGGGGGCAGGGTGGAAGGCTCAGAGGCTGTTTGAACCACATTCTGGCTCTCTGGAGAGAACACGTGGCGCCAAAAGCAGAGGAAACAGGAATGAGGAAAGAAAGGTGAAGCTATCCACATCCAAAAAAAAATAGGCAGCACCGGTGAGGTTGGAACGCCGAGGCACAAACAAGGGCGGGCACCGGGGAGAACGCGGAGCTGCCACGTGTCCTCCTCCGCCTTGCCTCCACAAATACAGTTGCGGAGGAACCCAAGTGGAGCCCCGAAAAGGAGTAACAAGGGCACGACACGGCGCAAGATATTTTTTCGCGCGGCTCGGGTGGGTGCGCAGATGTGCTGGCTTTCTTCACAGCTCCTGCGGCCTTGGATTCCCAGGGATGCATAGGAACAAGCTCCTTGTCCTCGGCTCATAAAGGCCGTAACTCAGCACGAACAAAGGGCGCGTACAGCCAAGTCAGCTTGGAGGTCCTCCTCGAGCTGCGACTGGTGGTCCGCTAGTTGCTGCTCCGCCTGGAGGCACCACCGCGAGCTTGTTAACTTCGCGGCGTGGCGCAGCAGTTCCCTGGAAATCGGTTAAGCGCCCCATCGGCCTGGGAGGCGCGTGATTTTTCATGTTTCCGTCGGAAGACTGCCGGAACGTGGACCCAGAATATCTCGTGTTCTTCAAACGTTGGACCCTGAGTTGGCAATCCAAACATCAGATGGAAGAGAAACACCTTAAGAACTTGCACCCTGATTTGATACTGCTCTTCGTTGTCGAGCACCTTCAATTGTGACACCAGGTCGTGCATGGCTGTCAGTACGTTTGGATCTTCGTCGACCTGCATCGAGAGCGCCCGAAAAGCTCAGCCACGCGACATAGCAGAAATGATGCGACCGGCTGTCGGGATTGCCGGCGGACGGCGCGGCAATAATCCATAGCTGTCCACAAACCCGGTTTTCCTGATGTGCGGGAAGCGTTGCCGCAAAGACAAGTATACGACAAATGTATGAGGTACACGCAGCATAATAATAGAGAGGATATTTTTCGGTGCAAAGGCTCGAAGGTTAGCCGGTCGGTGATACAGACAGCCGGAGAATATTTATTTCTTTGCGAAGGCTTTAAGTTCAGCTAGCCGGTCACACCCGCACAAGGTGAAAGTCAGCTGCCCGGTAACACCTGGTCACACTGGACAACGGGAGACGCTCTGATACCGCGTGGCACTGCCAACGTGCGGAGAGTCGGGTGCCGTTCTTCTTGCGTTCGCTGATACTACTGACCTGCGTTTGAAGCAGTTCTAAGCACTTGGCCCGTAACTCCGAAAAGTCCTCCTGCTTTGAGCAGAATCCCAACAGATCCTTTCCTCAAGCGTTAGTCCACGCCTCCTTCAAGTCTATCCGGAAGCTGGTATCGCCGAGCAAGGACATGCTCACATGCTCAGGTAGAAGAGAAAGAGAAATATCCCTCCCCCCCGCGTGAAGGTGACAGTGGCTTAACTGCCTGTAGAGAAATACTGCGCACTGCAAGAGAAGAATAAGAACGACGCCAGCAATCGTAATGCTGGACAGAGTGTCGCTGTCATATACGCGTGTGACAGCTTGAGCTGCTTAAGCAAGCACTGAAAGAATAAACCGAGTGCTGGGGATGCACCTGCCCGCCGCCTGCCTCACAGATTCGGTTGTACAAAGCTTCGAAACCGTTCCACACCACCTCATCGCGGTTCGGTAAGACGGGTTGCGGGGCGTCAACCAAGTTCTCCGTCAAGTCCATCATTGCTTTCAAGTTATGGTGTGTAGTATTCGGGCACGTAATACACTCGCGCGCCACTTCCACTCCCAGCAAATGACTGTGAGAAACGGCCTCCCTGAACGGCTTGCCTCTCCTCGTGGAAGGGTTCGTTGAGATGCTTCGTGTCAATCCTTCAACCGCACCTGCGCCTTGAACAAAAGCCACAGTAGTCGTCCTGAATCACGCAAATTTTGTCGAGATATACATTCGATTGGTATTCAGCTACCGGAGAAAATCTCAGCCTGGACGAGCCTTATCTGGAACACTCTGTCTGCCCACAGCAACACTTCCGGAAGTCTCTAAAAGGTCTGTTTTCGACTGCACTCGCCAACCGTAGGACTCGCTTTTTTCTCGGGGTCTCGCGGTCGGACCGATTGTTTTTTTCAAGCTTGAGGATTCAATTCTCCGGACGGGCTCGCGTCATCGGGGCCCGATACCGCTACCGATAGCAATACAGCATTCTCGATTCTGCATTGAGTATACACGTCACACGATGATACATTCACAGACGGTATCGACAGAGTGAGAGTGGCATGTCACCGATTCCGATACCGTTCAACTTTTACTTTATACGCATGTCGTTGCACGTTGGTCACACAAAAACAAATTCAGGCCACCGATCCAAACCGTGAAAATCGAAATGGGTCGATGCGAATTCACGATGCATTGCAATTATCCGGTGCAAAACTGTAAATCGAAATTAGAGGTGTGGATGAATCAATCCAGTATCCACGCTCGAAACTGCAAAAGCTGACGTGTCGCTGCTTATGGCAGTACTGGCACAAGGTCGAAGATGGCCATCCAGCTAAAGTTTTGGCGACATATATCTTACGTTGACGCCTTTCCAACATGAAGGATGTGTAGCGCAGTTGGTTAGTGCGCTTGGAAATCATCTGTAGATTGCGGGTTCGAGTCCCGCCGTGGCTTCTCCCAGGGCCTCGTGGCCTAATGGACAAGGCGACAGACTTCTATAATTTCATGGAAGTCGGCCGAATGAATTGATCTGTAGATTGCGGGTTCGAGTCCCGCCGTGGTTTCAATATCGACCGCGTGGCCTAATGGACAAGGCGACAGACTTCTAAACATTCTTTTTTGAGATGTATATAGTCACGACCTGATGCATATCAAGCCGATGCAGGTTGAATTCATCTGTAGATTGCGGGTTCGAGTCCCGCCGTGGTTTCAATCGACCGCGTGGCCTAATGGACAAGGCGACAGACTTCTAAAACCCTTGTTTTTAACGTGCTCAACAAGGGATGACCACAACGAACTGTCCACCACTAGGAGTTGAAACCCCTGAACAAACACCATCTAGAGCGGTGGAAACTGAGCTCTAAGGGAAGGCCTGTCCTTTCTGGCAGGGTTGTCCCCAGTCAAGAGTTGCAAAGATAAAACCGGCCCGTGATCGGATTCCTCTGCACATACAGCTACGGTCAATCTCACTGTGCAGGAGCGGCATGATTAACTCTCTAGCCACTAGTAGGCGGTTGCACTGCCGTGCCAGCCCGCAGCACAGTCATAGTGCCGCAAATTGGAGTTGCCGATGCCGTGATTGAATCATTCGTGAGTCACAGAAGAAATCTGAAAAGTCTCGATCGCCGTGTGATGGACCTTCCCCTTCTTCCTCGTCTGTAGTAGGTCCCGGTGAATAATCCGGTGACGGTAGAGCATCCCCGTGCAGCGGTGGAGGGGGCGGGTGTACCGGGACATAAAGCCCAATGTTCGCATTATGAAGCCCCTGTCGAGCACGGTGTCGGCCGTGCCTGCGCGGTGGAATAGCAGCCGGTGCCGCAGTGCCCAAGCCGGCCTCGCAGCATGTCAAAGCCGTAAAAGTCAATGTAGGTGTGCTTGCGGTTGCCTCAGCAGCACCACCGACCTCCAGGCCGGCGTGGCCCGGTGCGCATGCCTCGCCAAGAGTCGCAGCCGAGAGTGGCGCCGCGGTGGCGCAAACACAAAAGAGTGCACACACCATCACAACAATTGCCGAAGAGCGGCCAAACCCCCAAGGCGGCGTACCGCATCCCTGTCGAGGGGCCGGAGGCTGCCGTACCGCACCCTCACCGTCAGCCGGGTCACACCCAGCATACGTACGACTCGTCCGCGTCGCTGTCATAAGAGCCAGCCTCCGACTCGGCGTGCATGTAGCGCATTGCCAAGTCCTCCCCCCCCAGCCGTGATCGAGAGTCCCCCCATCTGCGCGATCCTGTCCGCAAAGCAGAGGTCGGGCTCGTGCGCGTGCATGGGGTCCACCGGCATCATGACACCGTCGTCAGACGCCTCTGACCCGTCTGGGTAAACATGCGTGATTGCCGCCGGCGGTGGAGCCGGCGGTGGGTCCTCCCGGACATGTGTGCAAGCGGCAGCCGAGATCCCGCTCGCAACACCACCTACCGTGAAGCCCCCCATATGAGTGACAGGCTGGCAGTAGGGAAGGAAATCCTGCAACGCACCGTCCTCCCGGACCGGTTCGATCGGGCTACTGCCCCGCAGTCCTTGTGGTAGGACCAAATCGACGATTTGGTCCTACCACGAGGACCATTGTTCCGATAATTTAATTGGCCATCTCCCATGATTTGTGGTGTCTAACCAATGAAAGGTGGTATATATAGGTCCTATATTAATTTATTTGAACGCTGGTTTGGCCTATATCCATCCTATATATCCATGACGAACGCATTTCAAACCTCTACACTCAAACTTTTCAAAACGGATTTTTTGGAACATTCAAAATGTGGCAAATTAGTGACTCATCCTCAATATTTTTTTACCAATCATATATCAACACTACACCTGCGCGGATACCATCAAATTGAACCTATACATATGTCCCAATCATATTTGGGCGGTAGGCCCGGTTGGAATGCATATATTGGCTCGTTGGCTCGTTGGCTCGTTGGCTTCCCCTCTAATATATTGGCTCGTTGGTTTCCCCCCTAAAACAGTGGTCACGCGAGCTGACCAGCCAGCCATCATAATTGCTTGCTAGAGGGCATATATCGCAAGGTTGGTGTGTGCGGCACATTAAATCTTCAAGTATATATGTATTGCGAATTTCTGAAAGTCTAACATCATCCAAATATCTTATTTTTCGACTGGCGTGTACATTTTAGAATGGATGAATGCCAATTTCTAAAGTCCGAAATTCACTGAATTCGGAATTTGTATTGTGTTGAACATGCGCCATGCTGAAATAGAGCGGAAATGATGATGAGGGTGCGAAGTACTGTAACCGATTCAGTTATCTTATTTGGTCATAAACTCAAGATGTAAAACCATGAGCATCACCGTGAGCCCCCCATGTGACTCCTAATACTCAAAATAACGGTGGTCCTTGTGGTAGGACCACCATTTTCTTCAAGCTTTTGGTGAAATTACACCCCTAAAGCGTGTCGTTCAACCACACACCTAACTAAAGTCTCATGGGGGCCGCCGCTATAAGAAATAGAATTCGTTTAACTCGTAATTATCATGTGCAAATGTTGCCTGTGCCTCAAATAGTCGATTTGGTGATCGAAACCGCAATTGCCCATTGGTCCTTGTGGTAGGACCATGAATTTGGGGAGTAGCCATCGAGCCCGAAGGCACATGCCGAAACGCCGTCGAGCATCTCCGGCCTGCCCCCCGCCAGAAGGCAGAGTGCATCGAACCGCGCGCCGTCGTGCCCGTCCATGGCCGTCTGAAACTGCTCCGCCAGCAAATCGTTCTCGATGTCACCGAGGGAGAAGCTGTGGAAGCTTCCCCTAACGCCGTGCTTGCCGCCATTCGGGCAGTCGCGGTGCCAGTGGCGTGCCTCTTCCTTCTTGCATGTCGAGTTTTGGCAAAACGGGATGAAATCGCCGCTGCCTTTGTGAAAGGCAACGCGCTTCCTCCCCTGCGACTGCGGCCAGTTCCCACCAGTCGGGAGGTCACCAGCCGCAAAACGAACACCGGAGCCGCCCCCTCCGTTGCCAATCTTCATCTTGTCCGCCCGCGGGGTAAACCCCTTGCCGTTGACCTTGTCCGCCAAGACCTTCATCTGCCGCTTCGCGTCGAGGATGATGGCCGTGAGGTCGGACAGCTGCGAGCTGTCACCGTCAGTGGCCACGGCCGCTGCGGACAGGGTGGCAGTGTGCGTACCGGCCTGGACGTGTCGGGCGTAGCACTCGATCACCCATTGCTGCATGGTCAAGAGGTCCACGGCCGCCCGTTGCTGATGCGTGAAGAGCCTCGACACCACCGGCGCGTAGAACGTCGGATCCAGCGCCGTGATAAACAGCTCCTTCACCTCGTCATCGACCAAGCAAGGTGTTCCTCCTCCTCGCGGACCGCAAGGCTGCGTTGAAGTCCGTGACGGACTCCGACGGGTCGGTGTAGGCCTTGAAGCGGGCGCCAAGGAGGTCCGATGTCCCCTGAAAGGGTGCACCGGAGTCCAGCAGACGACGTGCGAATTCCAGTAAAACCCGCTTGCCGTCCATCGGGTGCAGCGTTGCAGATGCCTCGAGCCAGTCCCCCGCCGGAGAGGCGGGACACACGATGAGCTCGAGAGTCGAAAATAGCAGTTTGTTGGCCTCGGAGCGGACGGTCGGACCGATTGTTTTTTTTTCAAGCTTGAGGATTCAATTCTACGGGTCGGGGCGTCGCGTCGCGCCGGACGGGCTCGCGTCATCGGGGCCCGATACCGCTACCGATAGCAATACAGCATTCTGCATTGAGTATACACGTCACACGATGATACATTCACAGACGGTATCGACAGAGTGAGAGTGGCATGTCACCGATTCCGATACCGTTCAACTTTTACTTTATACGCATGTCGTTGCACGTTGGTCACACAAAAACAAATTCAGGCCACCGATCCAAACCGTGAAAATCGAAATGGGTCGATGCGAATTCACGATGCATTGCAATTATCCGGTGCAAAACTGTAAATCGAAATTAGAGGTGTGGATGAATCAATCCAGTATCCACGCTCGAAACTGCAAAAGCTGACGTGTCGCTGCTTATGGCAGTTCTGGCACAAGGTCGAAGATGGCCATCCAGCTAAAGTTTTGGCGACATATATCTTACGTTGACGCCTTTCCAACATGAAGGATGCGTAGCGCAGTTGGTTAGTGCGCTTGGAAATCATCTGTAGATTGCGGGTTCGAGTCCCGCCGTGGCTTCTCCCAGGGCCTCGTGGCCTAATGGACAAGGCGACAGACTTCTATAATTTCATGGAAGTCGGCCGAATGAATTGATCTGTAGATTGCGGGTTCGAGTCCCGCCGTGGTTTCAATATCGACCGCGTGGCCTAATGGACAAGGCGACAGACTTCTAAACATTCTTTTTTGAGATGTATATAGTCACGACCTGATGCATATCAAGCCGATGCAGGTTGAATTCATCTGTAGATTGCGGGTTCGAGTCCCGCCGTGGTTTCAATCGACCGCGTGGCCTAATGGACAAGGCGACAGACTTCTAAAACCCTTGTTTTTAACGTGCTCAACAAGGGATGACCACAACGAACTGTCCACCACTAGGATTGACATAAATCGACGAAGGCTGAATCGATCTGTAGATTGCGGGTTCGAGTCCCGTCGTGGTTTCAAAATTCAGGTTATCGGTTCACCACTCAGTGGGTGTTTCGATTTTCACTGCTCTTAGATCCCGCGGAACCAGCGGCCGCTTGAAGCGAAACAAGCTGCTGACACCTGGCTGCGCGCATTGCCAGCTTTTCATTCGCAACTTGCCGCGTGTTTTTTACGGCACCGGCCCATTTCCTTGAGCGGAGCCAGCTCCCGGAATTCGTGCGGCATTCGCACACCCAACCCGACGTCATTCCGCACTACGTTCTTCCAGTGATGAGCACGGACCGCGTCACCCTCGCCAGCCGCCTTCGTGCTGCGCGGGGTTCTCCTGGGGGGCCTTCCCCTAGCTAGCCCTACTCCAACCGCTAGTCCCGACCGTGACGGCACTGGAGACCCGATTGTGCGCATGTCACAATTGACCACTAAGCCGACCCCGGTCTCTCGGGCGGCCAGCCGGCCACCTCTGCTGAATTTTACGTTGATGCTACGGT